ATCTGTTTATGTTGATTAGTTTAAATATTCCGTTGAGTTAGTTATTTTTTATTAATAAATTGTGTCAGCTTTTAACGAAAAATATTTGACAAATTTAGTTGCACATTAGTAGTTGTTAGTTTATAAAATTATACTCCCTCCGTCCCATGAAACATGGGATGTTTTGCTTTTTTAAAAGATTTAAGAAAGTGTATTTTGGTATTAAATTTCTAAAAATGTCCTTTAATATGATGAGTAAAAGTAGGATTTGATGGGTAGATTATTAGTAAAAAGGTATGATGTGATAGGTAGGGTATGAAAAAGTAAGGGATAAAAGTGATTTTTTAATAGAAATGAGAAGTGTTTTATGAAACAAATGAAAAAAGGAAGAAGAAAGATTTTGTGGGACGGAGGGAGTATGTAGCAAGTGTCTTATTGACTCAATGTATGTTAGTTGGTGCGTGATTTTTTTGAAATTTGATGTAAGGTATAAGCAAACCGACAAAATACAAGTAAATGAGGGATGATACTTCCTTCATCCCAAAAATATGCTCTAATATTTGTATACTCCCTCCATCCTTGAGTATTTATTCACTTTTGAATTTCCGGTCAAAATTGGTAACTTTAACCTCAAATTAAATAAAAATGATAATAGATATTGGTACAAAAATAGTTTTATTAGATTTATTATATCAAATATTTTCAAAATATTATTTTATCTAATTAATATACAATATATATTTTGTTTAATTAAAGGTCAAAGGTTGAAAATAGTTGGCTAAAAAAGTCAAAGCTGGACAAATAAAGTTAATATGAGTTTTTAGAATAACCAATGTGACAATATGCTAAATGCTATACATGCTAAATATTTGGCTTAATTCAATCCACGAGCATCTCCAATGGAGCCTTCATAGTTTAAAAAGTAGAAATTTTAGACTTCACTATTCTTAATAATGGGCTCCAACGGGTCCTTCAAAAAATAGAGAAGTATTTATTTTTCACTTTACACATGCTATATATAAATGATCAAAAGTTATCAGCTATAATAAAATATTAATAAAATTAAATACGGTAACCAATTGAGAGGAGAGAGAAATGCTAACATCCACACAAAGCAAAGAAATAAAAAAGTAAAACATATTAATTTTATATGGAAGAGGGAGAGTAGCAGCTATGGTTAGAGCACATACCAAAATAAGAACATCCAAATCACTATACATATTCTAAAATATGTTTATGGCTGCCCATTTTTAGCATCTCCATTGGAGATGCTCTAAGCAAAAGGGCCATTTTAAAGCAATATATGTCGTACAACAAGAGCGAAGCTAAATTTTAACATTAGAGGGGGAAAAGTTGAATAGTATGTCCATAAATCTAACGGCGGTCATAGGAGATTTAGTTATGTTCATTTATCCCCATTCCAGAGTAAATATATACTGGGTAAAAAATCAATTAAAATTAAAACATATTTTTGTGTGACAATTTGAAGACAACTGTCTTTGTATTTTATATATATATATATATATATATATATATATATATATATATATATATATATATGTATGTATGTATGTATGTATGTATGTATGTATGTATTAATCCCCGTGCCTGGGTATTTGTCTGGTTTTAATTTTTTTGCTATCAATCATTTTCAATATTTGACCTATAGTTAAATAAAATATAACACAAAAATCTTATGACATTGAAAGTAAGGTATATTATGATTGAGGAACATAAAGTGCCCTTTTGGTAAAATGGATGGTTCCTAGCCCTTTGCATCCCACTCTTCCCCCCAGGGGCGGATCCATGTGTATGGTATTGGGAGCTAATGCCCCGTGTCAAATCCTATTGCTAAGTTACAAAAACAAAAAAAGCTGATTGATATTGTTGGTACCCCCATTCAAAATAAGAGATTGCCCCTTTTGGGTCCGCCATCCAGCTTTCAAGTATTTCTTTTTTTAACTAAATTCAGTGTTTTCCTTTTAGGTATAAAAATTAGGTTTACATGTTATTTGTTTTGTATGTTTTAAGTTTACTTGCTCTATTTTGTTCCGATTTTGTATTAAATGGGATTGTTTATTTAATTGATTGCAGTGAGTTATTTGTTCTTAAAAATATACTCCCTATAGGCTATACCTGCAGTAAGTTATTTGTTCTTAAAAATATACTCCTTACTTTTCTTTTTCGTTCACCCTATAAAAATCTATGCTTTTCTTTTTTATATAAGTAGTCGCTAAAAATTTTCTCTCCTCTTAATCAATTCTAACCATTACTTTTATATTTTTTAACACCTTTCCTTAATTCTGTAAAAGTCAAACTGAGAAGGTTTTATGAAGATAAAATCAAGTTATATCATACTCTATAGATCATTAAGGAGTACTTTTAAAAAAAATTCATTTTAATTATTTGAATGATTGTTTCACATAAAGTTTATTACTCTTTTTGTCCCAAATTAAAGTATTTTTATCATTCAAATAGTTAAACTTTATTTTTTTACTTATTCTGTTACTCATTTGATAAAATAATACAGGTATGTTGTAGATCTTATAGTTTAGTTTTTAAATACACACTATATGTAAATTTTATTTTTTATTTTCTTTATTATTTTCAAATAAATTGTACTGAAAATAATTTTAATAAATGATCGAAAACCAAAACAGGCCGTTTAACTGATGACCCCATGGAGCATGTTCAATTTACATTCAATATTTGTCTCTAAAAGAAAGCTCATGAGTGCTTCTCCCAAACTCGGTTCTAGGCTGCCCCCAGTACTTTTTAATCATAGATCCGCCACTGTTTCCCCCCCACAATCGTCAAGTTAGGCTGCCAAAATCAGCGATTAGGGGGTTATGGTGGGGTGTAGGGGGGGTTAGGGTGCATGAACTATCAATAGTATGATAAAATAATATATATGGTACATTAATTAAATAAATAATATTTGGAAAATATTTTATAAAATAAATCTAATAAAATTATTTTTTTATCAATGTATAGTATCACTTTCATTTAATTTATGGTCAAAATTTGTAAATTTTGACAAAAAGAGTCATAAGTAGACAAAATCTCAGAAACGAAGGTAGTATATAGTACTCCCTCTGTCCCATTTTAAATTGCCTGTTTGTCTTTTTTCTCCGTCCCAAAATAAGTTGTCTGTTAGTTGTTTTCATAAACTTTTAAAAATAAAATACCTAAACTTCCCCTAAAATAAGTCACTCTTTTTTACCTTATCTTCTCATTTATCATCACCCCTCTTAAAAAGTAATGTCAATTTCGAAAAAACAACTCTATTTTTTATTTTCCTTAAATATGCCCAAAAATCAAAACAGACGATTTAAATTGGGACGGAGGGAGTATAAGAAAATTAAGTTGGGAGTGACTGCAGTTGTAATCAGTTGCTCCCACTTGGCTCCGCCCATGCTGTACAGTTGTTGTACGTTGTTTCTCATACATCCGCATTGAATGCTCATTTATGAGTAATAGAATACTCATTTCGTTTATGATATATAGAGTATTTATACGTAAATGTATAAAATGTGTGTTGTGTTGTTCATAAAGAGTATAGTTTATGCATAAACGTAATAAGTATTATATAGTTCTCAAATAAGTATGCATATATTTATGATGTACATGTTTTGAATAAATACTAAAATAAATAAATATGCAAAATGAGTATTCTCTTGCTAAAAAAATGAGTATTCACGCATATCTAAAAGAAACACTATACAGCTAGATGTACGATATAAGGCTCACTTTAAAAACATTCATTGGGGTTTGTTATGAGATACTATGTAGTACGTATTATTGATATTATTTACTTCCTTTTGCACTTTATATTTTTGGTAGCAACTAGAATTATGAAAAAAGATCTTTACCTTTTATGTTATTTCTTCTCATTATGTGTTGGATTTTACCCCCACCAACTAGGAATGTACAAAGAACAATAATAATAAAAATAACACCACTCTTGAAACATCCCTCTTGATCAATTTTGGAAAAATTGAATTCCATTGCCTGTATCAAAATATTGAAATGTGAAAAGCTTGTCTTAACTAACGATTATCCATTGAAACCAAAATAAACATTATGATACCGATCTTCGAAAATCATGTCAGCCTCTTGGTAGTTTAGCATACCGCTAACATAACCTTCTGTGGTGCTGGATGCCCTCCACATTGCACATGATGACAGTATGCATGCCACAATTAGAGATAGCCAAGTGTATATTCGCACGCCTTCGAGTTCCTGATTTGATAACACATGAGAGGGGGGCAAGACAAGTACTTTTTAAATTATTTAAATGCTGGTTCATTAAAATAAGGCCCTTTTTTTGTCACGACAAAGAAGGGATAAGCTTTTTCTGCAAATATGAATAGAAATTGGTTCAGTGCCACCAATCATCGAGTCAAGTGCTAAACCTTCTTTGTTGTTTTTATTTTGGGAGGGGGGGATTCATCTTCATGATGGCCTTCACCTTCTCTACATTAGACTTGATCCCTCTTCGACTGACCATATGCCCAAGGAACTTACCGCCCTGACGGCGGTGAAGGTACACTTCTTTAGATTGAGTCGCAAGTTTACCTTCGCTATAATAAAAAAAATTAATTCAAGGCCCTAGACATGATCTCAAGCTTCTTTAGATTTGACGATCATGCCATTCACATATTCTTCCATGATCCTTCTTAAGACTGGCTTGAAGACCTACGCCACGATTCATGTATATGTGGCAACACCAAGATTTCTCAATCCGAATGCCATTACTAAATAACAGTATAATTATTAGAAACTGTCCATTATAGTTATACTTCGAATATGTTTGTTTGTTTGGCTAAAACTGTCCGTTGTAGTTAATGACATCTTTCCTTTAGTAAGAAGATGTCAAATAAAAAGGATTTTGACTTGTTCGACTCAAACGGGACTTTTTCGAGCGAAGAGAAGTCAAGAAACCCGTGTATGGGACGATGGGATTAAAACTGTATCATCATTAGCTTTGTTTTGCAGCAATATAGAAAATGTCATCAAATACGTGGTTTTAAATATTATTAATCCCGAGTATGGAATGCAGAGCAAAATCCATGCTTGCAATGAGAAACTACAAATGGGACTACATTTTGATCAACTTTACTGCACTCACAAAAGCATAACTTATCAGGTTTACAACAGTTTGATGTTTCAAAGAATAACATAATGGCGAAAAACTCCTTAGTAGACATAAGGCAATATCCTCCAAGGGACAATCTCACAGTATTCTTTCCAAACCTCTTTGTACTTCTCGGCACACCGAGCATCGTCTCTTCTCTCCCTCCATATTAACAATATTAGAAGATATATAGGATAAAAGTATGGAACTGCAGAGCTGCATAGGTTTATAGTGTGTCAGTATTTTGTCGTGTTGTACTACCTCTGTCCTGTTTTGACTTTTTTGGTCAAACAGTAACATTTTTTTACTACAAATTAAATATAATTTGAATAAATAAATGCTATAAAATTTGATATGTCAAAACTATATCCTAAGATGAACTCAATTATATTGAATTTATTTTAAAATCAAATACTCCCTCCGTCCCATAAAAAAGGTTACGTTTCATTATTTGCGCATCTCATAGAACACTTCTATATCGTTTCGAACGCCAAAAAAACTTTCAAAACGACTCCTACCCACAATAAAGAGTAAATGTGGTAATTTTTAGGCATCTTAGATGAGGGTAGACCTGTTTTTTGGGATGCACAAAAAAATGAAACGTAACTTTTTTATGGGACGGATGGAGTATATTTTAATAATTTGTAGTCAAAGAGTATCACTATTTGACCAAAAAAGTCAAAACATGAAACGTTTTCTTAGACAGAGGTAGTATTATATTTACGAATTACGGAGTATTCGTTTTAACAGAAACTACAGCAATGTGCCCTGTTAGTCCCACTAGCAGGGTCTAAGTTGGATGGGTGGAAGTACGCAGACGGCAGACCTTACTCTACCTAAAATAGATAGAGGTCGTTTTCAAAAGACACCCGGCACCGTAAACTAACATAAAATAAACTAGATGTTAGTCAGTTATTACCTTATTCCGCACGGTAAACTAAAGGAGAGGGCAAGTAATAAATCCCCGAGGTAATTACAGTGACGTGCTATTCCCCTTCAAAAGTTGGAGATGTTTGCTCAAGAAACTATAGTATGAAATGAAATTTCATCCATTAAAAGAAGAAAAAATTGAAAGCTCACCAATAGCCTGAAGCCAGTAACTTCCCCCCAACAACTTTTGGAGGCCTTCCCCATATTGGAGCTTTAGGGTTCTTTTTGAAGTGATGTTTCTGCTTGTTTGATCCTCTAAACACAAGATACCTTTGCACCCAAGATAAGATCCAGATCAAGAAAATGTTAAACATGGTAAAGAGGACTGTACTATATATGAATGTAATTTATGTGTTAACTTTTTAAGTTTTAAGGGCAGAAGTATATTACCCAATCAAGAAAACAAGACAATTGGCAATTACAGCAGGTGTTGTTTGCTCCACTTTGTTTCTCAAAAGCCACCAACCCTGCAGCAAATCAGAATAAAATCAATGTTCACTGTCGCTTAGGAGTTAGGACTCCCTATTCGTGGAACTTTACTGGGTTGGTTGTAATTGTACTGTCCCTTAGGAGTTAGGACTGCTTTTCCAGTATACAAAGAAAAAAACACAAGAACCGGATTGAAAATCAACATGTAAGGTCACGGAAGAGTAATCCTTAATACATAGAATTCTATGGCACATTGAGAGTATCATAAGGCATATTTCTTGATACTACGACATTTTTTGCCTTGGTAATACATTTTCCACTGCTAGTCATCTCAATCACCACATAAGCTCAACTATGTAACAGAGTAGTTCACAACTTCAAGTTTCATACTTTCATATGATCTATTCTTTGCCTAGTGGGACACAAACACATTGAGTATTTTGAATTAGTTTGGATTGCTTTGGTTTATATGTTATATGCTTCAATTTGGTAACCTCTGATATTATCTTTTTTTATCACTTTAGCTAGTTTTACAAAATCTTACCTTTGATACGATATAATGATATATTCTTCAGTTCGAAACCATCTGATATTATGTTTTTTACTTATACTACATTTTTTCATTAGACTGCACTATAAAGTATGTGAAGACAAGTCAACCTGTGTTGCAAAACGAAAAACAGAACAACCATAGGTGTGTTACCGTGACCAGGGGAGGCTAAGTGGTAACGGACCTTTACAACGCCTAAGGGAATAGGCCCCCGCCTAAATGACAAAACAAAGACATAAGGTGGACTATGTATTATATATATAAGGGCATATAGAAAAGAGAAGTCGAAAAGAGAAACGTTTGGGCTTCAAAAATATAGGGTTTAAGCGGGCTTAAGCTACCATTAAGGTTAACATGTCTCAGCTCCTGGGTTACAGCAGGTTGAAGTTCCAAAATAAATAGATAAAGAAATTAAAAATAAAAAAAATGTGCACACACACACAAAGCTAAAATACTTAAAACAGAAAATATGGCAATACATTATCTATACGAATTAAAAAAACTCAAATATCAACTAAGTAGTAGTGGTAGTAGTAGTAGTAGTAGTAGTAGTAGTAGTAGTAATAATAATAATAATAATAATAATATTCTTGTTATTGTTAAACAAACAAACAACAACAACCCAGTTGAATCCCACTACAGTAGGGTCTTGTTATTGTTAAAGATAATGATAATAATAATAGTAACAACAACAACAACAACAATAATAATAATAATAAATAATGTATATGAATGGGATTTACACGCATTGCAAAACCCAAGTAGCCAACACTAACGATTGTTGAATTCTCCATTAATCACTAAAAATGTCAAAACTTGATACAATAAAAATTAGGAGACTTCATTTATTCTCATTGGAACATGTGCATTTCGTATTGCTGACCATCATCAAAAACTTTCATTGGCTATTATTCGTTGGAACATGCAAGACAAAATTTCAAGGATACAACCAATAATGCTAAAGTGAATTTGACAAGTACTCCGTATTATGGGCCATAAAAAGTGATGAATTCAGATTTCTAGGGTGATGAATTCAAGTGATAATGAATCAACGATCTCCTCCCCAAAGGCCGAGAGGACTATTTATAGACAAATGATACATATGAGCATGGCGCAAAGACCTTAAGTGAACAACCTACTCGATCGGCCCAACTTGCTTAGCCAGTCCAAGTAACTATGCCCTGAAGGCCCCTAAATGCATTCGACGACTCTCGTGATCCCGACCGACCAAGCCTCCCCGACGAGGACGACCTCATGTCCAAAATAACGCAAATCAGATCCTCCAGTCTACTGTCGGGCTCTGCTAGCCGACCTTGGTTTCACAAACAACACTGGGCCAAAGTTTAACTCCCAACAGTCTTCATGTTAGGCCTGCGGTCTTTGGCCTTCGAGTCTTCTCATTTGGGCTTGATACCCCCAGTCCAAGATACTCGTCATGAATACCACCACTTCCCAGGTAGAGTGCAACCATACTTGGTGGAAGTAACCAAAGTCCTCCATGGAGAGAGGCCGAGGAGGTACAAGATCTCCTAAAAGTTTGACGTTTTAAAATTTTTGTTGATTGAACCAAAGGACAAAGTCCCACGTTGAGCCCCATATCCACATGGAGTCCCCAATTCCTTGAGCCGGGGATGAAATCCAAGGAGAGGGGCAGCACACACAAAAATCCTACTAGTTTTTGCATGAGACGATGATGTATGCGTACCTTGTACGAAGACGACTATGTGTCCCTTAGGGAGGATGCTCCCCCAACTTTGCCACTCCCATTTCTTAGGGTGTGCCTCGCAAGAAAAAACCATGTGGGATAAACCAAGCTGAGGAGAGTCCCACATAGGAAATAGGCATAACAAAGTTGGATGTGGGCCAGCTCCTAAGCGGAGCATGATCCCACGTTGCTTTGAAGTCTCTGATGTAAGTCACGGATTTCGTTAGCTTCAGGTTCTAGAACCCTCCGGCCAATATGTTGCCTGGCCGATATCCCATTGTGGCTTTGAACCTCAACATCTTCGTCTTCAGGAAGGGTGGACTGAGACCACTGGACCCCTTCCCCTTTGATCATTGTGGACTTCCCAACAAGAACACCCAGCGTGACTTTGCGCCGGTTTTCTGCTCATCGCCGGCCCTCGTCGAGGGTTGGGTCCCAACCTTTCTGATGCCAGGACCATTCCAACGGACAGCCGCTTGAATCCTAAGCCCCCTCGAGCTGCAACCTCCACAACTTGTGGCTTGTTCAGGTCCCGGGATCTGGAGGTTGGAGTCAAGCTAGTTGTCTCCATTTCTTGCTCCGGCTGGTTTGGCCTTGCTGCCGCCCTCTTCTGTCTGAGGTGTTCATTGTACTCCCGGATCCTCTCATTCTCCAAATCATCCTCCCTCTGCCACCAGAGTTGCTCCAAGTGATCACCCACCGGGCATTCGCTGGAGGGGTGATGAGCCATGCATCCTGAGCTCATGGTGATCATTGTACTCCCGGATCTTACGATCTGTATCACGATCTTACAATTTACGATATTTACTTCGTACATCAATCCTACACAGAATATCAAGTTTGACTACCTTGCAAACAGTCCTTACTCCAAGTTCACTACAATCGGAAGTCTACCCTCTCTTGCCCATATGTTGTTTGTCATGTGTGATAGCTTGTCCTTGTTCCCCCTCCTACTTTCACCACTTCTTGCATGGCATGTTGATAATTCAACCCCACCATGTTTAGAGTGTGTCCTGAAATTTGAACATAAGCTTCTTCTATTGCCTGAAATAGCTCTGCCACATTGTTGGGAGCTGATTGTTCCTTTGATGACTGAATAGCTCTATAAAATAAAAAATGGTCATTAAAGATACAGCTACCTTGAATGTTCCTTAAGTTTGAAGCTGATGTTTCCTTAAATTTTTCATCAGTGTGCACGCACCACATAGTGAAAAGTTTTAAATTTTCGGTTATAAGGAATACTAGTGGCTTCTAGCTGATTGAACCAGAAGAGTAGCCTCTGACTTTTGTTTGCCTCAGCCAATAAGGGGTTAAGGAATAAGGACCTATTCTCTTCAGCTTATTCTTATTACTTATTCTTATTAGAATCAAATGAAATCAAAAAAATTAAGATTAGAAGATTCGGATCAGACCAGATGAGATCCAGTTTAATTTTAATTGGAATTTCTAAATCAAACTAGACCTTAATAAATTCATATCAAAATCAATAAGATCAAACAAATAGAACAAGCCCTTAATGGCAGTAGAATGGCTTCTAAGTCCACCTCTTTTAATCATAGATGCATTGTGAATTTAGACATGCCAAATGTTGAGGCAAAGATCTGATAGTAGTCAATCCACGTAGTGGAACCTCTTAAGTTCCACTGAGGTGAACAACCAACTCTACCTGCACTTCCTTACAAGTTACAATTCACTCCTGACTTCAATGAAAGCACCCTCCTCTAAGTGTTTTTTGTCTTAGCTCCATATGCAGCTGATTGTTCTTTTAGTTGTGTTGAAATCCGATGCAATTTCTTTACAAATGCAACATTGAGCGGTATTCACCCATGACAACAGTCTTTTAATGTAGTAGACATTTTTTCAATAAGGCTTTGTCTCACACTATTACTTAACCTCTTCGTCCTTTGTTTACATTCACTTTCAACATCAATAAATGACCCTTCAGTTTTGTGCTTGCAGAGATTGTGTTGGCTCATATAAAGGAACCAACATGGCAGAGGAAAGAGACACAAGGAGAAAAGGTGGAAAATGCCAACTTTCTAAAAAAAGACTAGTGCTTTTAGCTTTTTTCGGCTGTGTTGCTTGAATTTTTATTGGGAGTGTAGATTTGCTTCTGGAGGGACTTAAATTTTGGCAGTTCTCGTGTGTGCGACTTGGGTTGAAATAAGACACTTGCACTTGATCTTTGTGTTTGTAAAGATTAAACCAGATTTCATACTATATTACTATTTGCTTCGTTTACTTCTCTCTCCAGCTAATTACACTTCACGTTTAGAATAGTATATGAAGGGCAATTTAACAAAGTCAGTACTTTTTATCTGCATTAAAAATCGTGTAGAGTCAAAATAGGAAGTAAATTGTAGAACAAGTGGAGTACTTAATTTACAAAATTAATTTCGATTAAAAGTTTGAGTAGCTACGTTTCATTTAATGAGGTTCACATTTATTTATTGTTCATAACATAAGTCTTAGTTCTAATATATATTGAATACATTAAAGTTTGTGTCAACTTTTTTTCGTAATGTTATTTTCATAATTTACTGTTTGATTCATATGCGTCTTACCAAAATTAGGTTAATTACAAAAGAAAACATCATAAATGCTGCACATGAAAAACTTGAGCATTACGTGTCACTCTACTGAAATTGAAACAATTGTCCTTTAAGAATGAAGCGGGGATAACTATTTTCTTCTCTATGTGATGCCAACTTGAACTCAAATATTCAGCAAAATAAAAGTCATATAGAGTGTCATAACATTCGTATAGAATTATACTTACGAAACAAACAAGCTTTAAATTTAAATCATTACTTGATACAAATCTCAAACTTAGAACTTGATAGTAGGAAACGGAATGTAATTTTAACTCGTAGTGGAACAGTTTGAAATTGAAACTTGACAACAACAAAAAGTGTTGTTTTTTGGTAATTCCAAGGTTGAAAAAAAAAATTATTCAAAAAATATATTCCATCCGTCCCCAAATTAACTTATACTGTGAAAAATGGCACAGCAATTGAAAAAAAAAACTGAATTCTTGCGGTTAATGTTTGAAGAGAAGAGAGAAATAATATAAACCACATTTTTATCCTTAAAAGGAATGAGAATAAAAATTTCGGGCATCATAGAATGGAAAGTGGGAAGATCATTTGGTGACAAAGGGACTTTGAGGTTTGGTTTTTTTAAACGTAACAGCTTGCAAACATTTTGTTGTTAAAACACCATGCTTTGTTCTAGAGTTCCACAAACTTAAGCTTTGCATGTCGAAAAAAGGAGAAAAAAAGCACAACTGTTTAGGAGTAAAGTAGGGAAGGGAGAAGTGTGTGTAGGGAGGAGAGGATGATTGAGGGTGGGGTATTTTATGGAAAATCTAAATATTGTGAAAAGCACACTCCAAACAGCTTGTCAGCAAACACCCGAATTAGATGTTCGGCCAACGTCAAACATCTTATTTAAGCCAAAAATACTTTTTGAACAAAAAGTTGACCAAAAGCTTGTTGCCAAACAGGTCCAAAAGATAACAAGAAACAAATCATCTTATACTTAATTGATCATCCATATTTTGAGCACCAAAATCAATCTATCCACTTGGAAAAAAATTGAAAATGAGCTAATATTCACTCGTGGAGACAAGATTTAAAATGCATTGCCAAATATGTGTATGATTCGAGTAAATAAATAAACCACATAGTTTTACATACCTGAATACTGAAGGTGAAAGGGATCCAAACTAGATCACCAAAAACCAGCATGAACCCTAATCTCTCTGCAATTATATCCCAACTACAAAGAATGGGCATGACTAATATAGTTAAAACTGAAAACAAGGAAATAAAAGAATCATAAAATAATGTCAGATTGAAGGGGAAAAAACAAGGAATGAACCTTCACGAGATATAAACCTTAGGACAAACGAAGCACATAATTCTAGCACTAGTAAAAATAATCTAAGATACTGAAAAAGATGGATATTAATATACTTACGTGGAGGTCATAAATTCCTCATAGAAAAAGTAGTCAAGAATATACAGCTGCAATAAACCGAGAGCACACAAAACTATTACTCTACCAATAGAATACATAAATACATGAATATACAATGCTATTTAAATGCTATAGATAAGAAATCCCGAAGGGAGAGAGAGAGAGAGAGAGAGAGAGAGAGAAATGTACTCACTCCACTAAATATCTGGTAGAGAACCATTGATTGGTTTAAATTTCCATGTTGAATACATTTAGCAAGAATTGAAAGATTAATGAGCAACCATCCCATCATTCCGGCTCTAACAAAGAAAAATCTACAGAAGAAGGTTTCATGGCCCAGCCAGCATGAATATATGTAAGAACAGATTGCAAAAGGGTAATGTTTAGAAAACATCATGTCAAGTAAAAGTGTAATGTTGGAGGCAAGTAACACACTTCAGATCAATGCCCATGAATTGAGGGTTCAATTGTACTCCAAACCACCTATTGAGAAAACATCGTGTCAAGGCATTAGAATATCCAAAACAAAGGTTAATGAAAAGCAACAACGGGAAATAAACATACATGCAATCCAATAACAGTGTAGCAATATATATAAGAATAAAAGAACATTTATGTGGAAACAGATAAATATATATATTCAAATCGATTTCGAGTTGTACAAATGAGGTCTATTTATAGCCATTTATATACACTAGTCAAGATGATGAAGTTATTATAGTGAAGCCATGAGGGTAGAGGTAAGGTCTTTCTACATCCTACTCTCCCCTTACCCCCACTAGTGGGAATACACAACATGTTTTTGTTGTTTGTTGTCATGAGGATGATGTCATATATCAAGAAAAGCATTGGAAGCTATCACCTAAATTTTTCATTTATGTTTACACGATTCTACAATGTCCCAAGCGAGAGCATAAAAATTATACTCCCTTCGTACCAAAATGAAGTCTATCTAAAGTGAGAGCATAAAAACTACATTGGCTCTGTACCAAAATGAAGTTTCCAGGTTGGTTTACGATGTTTGACCAAAGCTATTTTTCAATTCAATTTTTTTGAGATTTGTGTAGATTTAAAAAGTAAAATTGGGTTTTAAAAAGAGTAAAACTGGGTTAAATATGTTTGTGGTCCGCACCATCGGTGGTGGGACTGTTTCAACAGATGCCAAGAGGGTCCAAGAGGTTGCTTATTGGCCCCAGCCTACTAGTGTGAAGCAGAGGAGAACCTTTTCGGGGCTGGCTGGTAACAACATCAAGGGGTATGGCATAATTGCAAGACCCTTGAATACAGTTGAGGAAGAGTGCTTTCTCTTGTGAAGCATTTAGGAAGTTGATGAAAGCCCTGGTCTCAGCAGCGATCCTTGCCCTCCCAGATTTGAATAAGCCATTTGTTGAGTCAGATGCTTGTGCATCTAAACTTGGTGCTGTTCGGATGCAGCAAGGGCAACCACTTGCTTTCTTTAGTGAAGGGTTGTCACCTAAACACTCATCTCTTTCCATCTACGAAAAAGAGTTGATGGTTGTGGTGTTGTCTGTTCTTCCCTGGAAGTGATACTGGTGACTTGAAAGGGGAAACTTTATCATAAGAACAGATGAGCAAAGAAGAGTGTTTGTGTACAAGAAAGGGACTGGAAATTCAGCAGAGGATGCACTCTCAGGGACGATTAAACACAATTATTTCAGATTTCTTACAGCACAACCTCTAGAAAAATTAAAATAAAGAAAATTGGGAGAAGGATTAGTGGGTCAAGACTCTTTTAGCAAAGGTGCAGCAAGCCAATGGTATATGGGAGCATTTCACACGGTCAACTGTTGGGAAGGAAAGAATAACTAGTTATTGAGAAGATTTCTCCTTTATTGAGGATAACACTAGAGTGGGTGCAATCTCTCAGGGATCCTTGCCTCTACTCGAAAGTAGAGAGGCTCTTTCCAAGAGACCCCTGGCTCAAGCTGCACAAACAAGAAGATCACAGGATATACATAAAGCAGAGAAAGCATAGATAAAGCACAAAGCATAGAGAGGCAAAGAACAAACTAGAGTCGACGAATCAAAAGTAATGTAATTAGAGAGCACCAAGCATACAAAGCACACAACAACAAGGGCAGCCAATATTTCGAAGCATCACTTACACAGGGAAGTCAATATTACAAAGCTAAAGAATGATATCCAGGCATGATCATGAATTTGCGATTGGATAGTGGGTATTTTTAAAATTGAAGCCATGTAGACAGATTTCTACAGTTATAAGGTCCTGACAAAAATTAGCTTGGTGATTAAGAGAATAGGGTACGCGGCATCCATGCAAGACTTGGTACCAGAGTCTAGGATACACCCTACATTTCATGTATCCCGTCTGAAACTTTGTGGAGGATGTGTTGTGACTTGTGAAGCTTAGGCATATATATTGAACAAGAGGAAGTCGGACATGGCCGATGACAAGGCGTCGTGGGTGCCCCTGTTTACCTTTGAGCCAGAATTCACAGATTTTATTGTTGATCCTTCGGGGCAAGGCTTGCTTGTAGGGGGAGGGGGGTAAATGGGTAATGCTATGTAATAATAATAAAATCCTTGAGATTGTTAGCATCTGTGGTTAAGTTACTGTGTTAGCCCTTAGTTAGTTAGTAAGTTAGTGAGCAGGAGTCCTACCCACATGGGGATTCCTATCTATAGCTATAATTACTACTTAAGTTTCCGTTTGTTTCCCATATACATTATTCGGATACGGGAGTATCTTCTTCTTCTTCTTCTTCTTCTTCTTCTTCTTCTTCTTCTTCTCTCTCTCTCTCTCTCAAATTCCTCCGATCTTGTTCTACATCTCCTCTCCCTACTCCCTTCTTGATATCAAGATTTCCTTTTCTAGATGTCAAGGATTTTACTCAATATTACAATGGCATACCACATCGTAAACAAAAGACTTGCAAATTAACCGTTCTAACTTCTAAGACCGAATATCTCTAGTAAAATTCTAGCAGGAAGCACAATGAGGGGAGTGTGAGTCAACAATGGCGAGTGAAGAGTTGAAGAACTTTACGGCATTTGTGCTCTGCCATCCCGAAAAAGGGTGAGAGTGAAGAGGACATCACACACCGTAAAAAGGTTAAGTTGTTAAAAGTGAAGTTAACATGAAGATGACATCATACATCGTAGTGGGGAGCAACTTTTTCATACACCAAAAGTGGGGGATTGCACGAAGTTGTGCAGTTCAAAATCATTCTTACTTTATCCAGACTTTACATATTAAATATCAATCACACAATATCACTTTGCTTTAATATATGTCCCACTTCCTCATGTCTCAAAGATCGTGGACATGGGAGTACATGCTATTGTTTTTCAAAAGTTTTTTTCAAATTTTTTACTTCTCCTACTTCAAATTTTTTTTCCTTAGCCTGAAGTCCTCAAAAAAACCATCTCATTACTTCTTGGGATACAAGGAATGTGTACATCTAACTCTTGACCCTCCTCAAATCCTACTCTTGAGTAAACTTACTGAGTTTGTTTGGATTGGTTTTAATATATCCCACGTAGAACTTCTCCCCTGACTTCAGTGGTAGGAAGCCCACTCCCCAGGTTTAATGGGAAAGTTCACTTAAGTTCGAGCCCCAACGGAAGCACAGGTGTTGGCTCTTTGTGCGTTATTAGGTTGAGAAAAGTATGAACAAATACTAAATTGTAATAAAGTCAATAGCACTCAAAAAAACAGAATTGAATATATATATACACACACACACACACATATATATATACATATATAGATACATATATATACACATACATACATGTGTGTGTGTGTGTGTGTATCCCATGTATATTGATTGTTCGAGTCAAAAGGTGATTTTTACTTCACTTGAGCATTAACTAAATGAATTACCAGTCACTGATTATGTTTCCTGTTACATGAGGCTTCATAGATGAGCTGCAACCTTTGCACTTGAATCCAACAACATAGAGTGCTAGTGTTGCCTTGCATATATGGCACACAATAATTAGAATAGAATAAATTGAAAACTGGTAAACAAAGGGATTAAAAGAAAACATTTTCGGCATACAAATATCTAGTTTAGATAGGCCATAATTGACAGTTTTGCACACAACTAACTTAGCCGGTTCAAAGGTAACATATTTTTTGGAACAAGCATGCATAAAAATTGTAGCGTCATGGGTTAGTGGGCCAGTGGTGGAAGTTACTCTAAACCTGGGGAGTGCATGTTTATTTATCTACATAATACTGCCCCATGAACCATAATTATTAATTAATAATATATGTGAAAACTAGATTTGGAAAAATTGAGTCAGCCAATTTTTATCCGAAAGCTGCTGACACAACAATACTCTGGCTTACCGAAAAATTGTTGACTAAACCAGAAAGGATCCACTAAAAATGGGTCAAACCCAACCAAACCTGAATCCAACGTGACCGACTAGCCTAAAGAAAGACTTTTGTTCAAAATCATTTCCTTTGGTATGAAATATGCAGTATAAAGTCATAAAAATCATGTTATTTTATTTTCTTTTTACTCCATTTTATTGTATAAACTTATTTTTCAAAATTTCCCCAAACCCTACTCTCGTGGGATTCTACTGGTTGTCGTTGTCATCTTATTTTTAAGAAAATTGCAAAAATTTAAAAAGGTTATTTTGCTTATAATATAGTGGTAGATATCTAAAACAAATAATTAAAATTTCAAAGAGAAATATTTTATTACATTTAATTGATATAATTTTATATTTATTACATATTTATGAAAAACACAAGTGTTAGGATAAATTTAATATTTTTAAAATAAACGCCTACTACCCATTACATTGATCTGAACCTGATGACGCAAGGTCATCACCATGCATATCTCAACCCAACCCCAAACCTGAACTAACTCGAACATGAGGTTACCAAACCTGATCGACCAATTTGCCAACTCGAGTTAAAATTATACTCCGTACAAATTCAACTCTCAATAATACATAAAAAGAGCCAAAATAATGTTTTACATTTTTGGTTTTTTGTCTTTCTCATTAACTTTTTTTGAAAATTTATTATAATCTATTGCAAATATAATATTATGTTCAATGATATTTAATTTGAATATGAAAGTACAATAATTGGCTAAGTGGATTTTTCAAGGTAAGTGGGGTGAAAAAAATTGGCTATTTGAATTTGGGTGGGTCAGTGGGACGAGGGTGGTGGTTTAGATCTGCACCTGTTGGGACGGGTGTGGTTAAACCACACCTGAAGGGTGGTGGTGCGAGTGGTGGGTTAAAAATCTATGTGGGTATGGGGCGAGGAACCTATACTTGCCATCCCTATTTATAAATTAGAATCAACTCAGGGTGGTCAGCTACTAGCTTTTTCTCTGGCAAAACAAAGAAATGGAGACTGAACTTACCAAAAAACTGAATATAAATGTCACTGACAAGATTTCAATCCCTTTGTCTGCTATTGCCTGCACGAATATGAATAAAGTTGCAACTTTATTTTAGAATGTTAAATATGAAAATATGAAGCATGTTCTAGCGAGTTCCGAGTTTAAAGGGATGTAACCTATCAGAGATCTAATACTCCATATCAAACTAGCAAAACTTGAAGGGCATCCTTCTTGAAGACCATCAAAGTTTGGATTAGAAAGACAAGATGCCAATTTTAATTAAGCAATAAAAAATTCTAAAGTTTCCTCAACAAAAAAAAACCAAACTTTCATTGTTTACTATAAATATTCATAAGGCAAACAAAATACGGAGTAAGTCACTTCCAGACTATAATTTCTAGAATATGTTGTTGTAGCATGTAGTAAGGTCATATATAAATATCAGTCTACTAAAGCAATTTAAGCAGTAACGAGTACTCCGTTACAGCATTGAGGGAAATGATTGAGGGAAATGTTATGATGGGAAGTCTATTTTAATAACATTTCTACTGTCAAATTCATGTGTCCAATAAATATTACGGTCTAAAATGCTACTTGGTATTTCATGTGATCTGAGCTCCTCCAAACTGGACATGTATTTATTCTATCAACAACTAAAAGAAAACATTACTTGTATCAAAATTAAGATGTGAAGTTGACATCAAATTGGTTAACATGACTACCAGTATATACTTGGAATATCCAAAATCAGCTAAGTGCTTACAGTGGGCGGTACAAGATTTATCCCTGCTCCAAATCCAAGTAGTAAAACTAACAGAAGAAGTGATAACAAACCTACAAATCAAGAATACTCGCAAATTCAATTGACAAAACTCTTCAATCGAAGGTATATCATATCAATAGTCACCGTGTACCATTGCAACGATACTGGAGGCGAGTGCCATCGGACAAAATGACTCCAGGAACGAGCTTTCCTGGAAGAACAGATCCAGCAATCCCCAGATAAACGAAGAAGGAGAGTAGCATGGCAGCCTAATTTAGCAACACATAGTTAGACAAACGCGCGAGCGCGCAAGTATAGAAATTAGAAGAAATGGCAGATACCGATGTCCATGAAGGAACGAGTGGTGAAAGTAGGTTATTGCGATCCATTATCCCGTGAATAAACTTCTGATACAGTCCAGTGATGGTAGAGAGAAATAAGATACTTCTTCAGTTCCTCCATACGGAGTACTCCCTACTTTATTAGGAAAAAAGAGTTGTATTCATGTGTTCTCCATTAGAGATAATTATACTAAAGACTCCCTCCCTCTCTAAATTTTTGCCAAATTTCAAAAAATGTAAATATTAAATTTTTTGAATTTATTTTAGTTAAACATTGGCATAAAAAAAATTAACATATTATGTTAAAAACTATGTGAAAAGTTTTTCAAAATAAGATGTCTTAAAAATATTTTATTTTATCAATAAATCAATAAAAATGTACAAATAAATAAAAATTCTCGTGATTGCTGAAAAAGAAAATGTGGTGAACATTTAGGGACGGGAGGAGTATAAGTCTTGCAAGTATCTGATGTTGGTTCGACTTATTACTCCCAATATGTGATCAAACTTAAAATTATCTCTTTTTGTTTCACTGTCCGGACAGCTCTAAAGGATCATCGGAGATAGAGTTCATCGTTTTTCATTAAGAAAAAAAACAAAAAAATTAGCATCTTCATATTTTATCCTCAAAATAAAATATAAGGAGTACTTCATATATTTTTAATAATGTCAACATATAATATTAAAGAATGTTGTAGAATGTCATGTGAGAAATGCTAAAATTATAAATAAAACAATTACAAAATACGCAAACTTACTATTTATACATTTAAATTTTTAACTTTTTAAATTTTTTGGGATCGACAATTCGGTCTTTTTTTATGCTCTCAAATACTACGTTTATGATTTTTGTGATTGTTTTGTTTGTGATTCAAGCATTTCTCATGTCATATACAGAGTGAATTCCGTTTGCACCGTTGAGATCGGACAATTATACTCTATCCAATGACATAATTTTTATCTTTATTTATAATATTTTTTCTGAAATCACATTTTTGGGTGTTTGACTTTGACAGAATCAAAATTTATTTAATTGACATTTATCATAAAAAGGCGCTCATATTCAATTTATATTATTAATTGCCATGATTTATTTTATCAAATCATTTCAATATTTATATTACATATCAATTTCTTAATTTATTCTTGATTTTGGGTCTGTACTCAAGTTTCCAATCAAGGTCACACAATAAGTCAATATATTGGCTAAATGGTTGGATCCTCTTCATCTAGCAATCTCATATACCAATTCCGTTCACGAACAATTGCAGCCTTGCCATACGAATAAACTTCCATGTAACAGCATTTGCAGAAACATGATATGACGTCTTAATGTTACCCAGAATGTGATATATACAATGCCCATGCATAACCTTTGGGAAAATAGACTCCAAAGCACTTAAAATTCCATCATGACGGTTAGAGACAATATACTTCACTTCTTGATCTACAATGACCTCTTTAACCTTTTTTAAAAACCAAGTCCAATTTGTAATGTCTTCAACATCACAAATGGCAAAGGCCAATGGAAATATTTGTTTAATTTGTTCCCATCCCGTTCCACAGTTGTTAGCAATGTAGCTGTATACTCCCTCCGTCCCCCTAAGATCTTCTCGTTTTGACTTTTTGCGGTTTTTAAGGAGAGTTGAAAAAAGGTGAAAGTTTACCAAAATACCCTTAATGAAAATGGGTGAGGTGTATTAAATAAGGTGAAAAAGGTGTAATAAATAAAGTAAGTGGGGGTAGTTGTGGTATTTTAAATGTTAAAAAGGGGAAAAACCAAAGTAGGACTAAAACATTGAAAATATACCAAAATAGAACTTCCATGTTTTTATTCCCGAAATAGGACTTACATTACCAAACATGGTCATATACATTACCAAAAAAGTATAGTAATTTGCACATGTACACTGCCACATTACCACAATGCAAAGTCACATTACCACAGTGCAAAGTTCTATTTCGGGAAAAGAACATGAAAGTCCTATTTTGGTACTTTTCTCTATGTTTTAGTCTTATTTAGGATAATTTCTAATGTTAAAAAAGGTAATGAGAAGATCTATGTGGGACAAATAAAAAGGGCTAATGGGAAGATCTATTGGGGACGGAGGGAGTAACATAATTTCATGAATGACCCATGAATAATCAAAACTGGAATGCAGTGAGCCCATCCATCTTTCCAATCATATAGAGACATGAAGAAATACTTAAAGAACCCATTGTCTGATGTGTTGAGCTCAACGGTGAAACCTAGATTTGAATTTTGTAGCATAAAACATGTAGATGGCAGTATTGCATACGACTTTTCATCTTATCCAAAACTTAAAAACCATGCTTTCTTATAACTCATAAAAATTCTATGGCCTCGCATGTCTATTATTATGGACTTGGGAGGATACGGTTTCTGTGTCACATCATTGAATTGGTGTTTGATAAGGTTCGCAACAATGGAAGAAGTGGCCTGGTGAGTCTTACCGTGTATAACATCAACATGACATTAATGTTCAAAGTCATACCTGGGAGAAAACACATGCTTCAGATAATGTCATCAAATTTCAGAAACAAGAAGTAAATAAAGACATACAACAATGCTCCTGATATATGAAGATAATCAGTCAATTTTTTGAACAAAAGTAAATGAAAGAGGTTTGACTACAAAAAAGGTGCATTGCAGTGTAAATACTTAAAACACATATAAAAAAATGTCTTATACCAGTTTAAACACCACCGATGCATAGCTTTGGACAACAAAGCAGTGAAGTCTAAGAATATTTAGCAACATAATGACTAGAAATGCTACTTGCAAATATGAAAAATTTCACCACGTGCATGCAAACAGCTCTGACAGTCCAGTTGCATCTTCTACGATCTACACATACAACATATAAAACTTTCTTCGTAGATTTCCTCTATCTATATTGAAAATAGTTGTTAATCGCCAACCTTTTTAAAATGGTAATCCAGCACTTTCTTGCTCTCATATATTGCATCAAGGGCCATTCTAGTGGGGTGGAAATGGGATAAGATCTCAAATTCTGGGGACATATACACTACTTCCTCAGATTTCATTAGACCAATGTTAATGACATCCCTCAAAGGTGGTTCATAAGCATCAACATTCTTCCTATTAACGTCATGGTGACTAGAATAATCAGTGTTTTCTAAATCATAACTTGTCTCATCCATAGTCAACGACATTGATGATGAGGTCAAACTAGTAGACATTGTTAGATGAAGAAAGAGTTGATATTCAGCAAAAATGAGACATTATTCTCTTCATTGCCGATATGCATTGAATTATTGTCATCTGAACTGGAAATCAAAGACACTGAGGATGGAGGTTGAAGACCAGATTTAGCCATTAATGAAACAGTATTTAGATGATTGGGAAGTGCAATGTCCCAATAGGCATTGAGTTATTGTCATATGAAATTAAAGGCATTGTGTTAGGAGGAGAAACGTGTTTGGATGTCACATTATGCGAATTGGGAAGGAATTGAACACATAAGGGCAACATCATATCATCTCAGTAAAAGGATTTCAGTTGCTAGTAAAATTGAAGACTAGAATCATCATCAATAACAACAGGGGGAGGGCAAACTTGCAATAAATACGAAAATCGAAAAACATATTGCACATAATCGTCACCAATCGCTAGACAAACTGCTTTGCTTAGGTCTGCAAACAAATTTTGAGAATGGATGAACAACTCACAATTATGTTTACAATGAAAGGAGGAATCATCGCTCCATTGGCCATCAACATTTAGCAATATATGATATGAAGGAAAATCATGTTGAGTAGACATTGAGTTAGCAAATTTGAGAAAGAAAAGAAGAATAGTTGATCATTCTGATTTGAAAAAACGACGAAGAAGATAACTAAAGCTAAAAGGGAGCGCGCCACGCAAAAATAACATCCAAGCAGGAGATCAAATTTAGGCATGGATAGGAGAGGATAAAAAAGGAAGATCATGTCAATAATAGTACAATTTATGGAAAAAAATATTATTGGTACCACAATAGGAAAGGTACTAAGTTTTGGTACCATCCGTAGCAAATTTGACTAACTAAAATGTCATTTTTTTCCACATAATTTGTACGTTTTCAATTCATTTTACTATTTTTCATAATTATGATTTTTTAACTAGATTGTTGTTGTTGTCCTCTAAATTGTAGTTTTTTTTACAAGAATTGTATGTATTTCTTTAAATAATCAGTATTTATTTTCCAATTCTACTTTTAAAAAAATTAATAATGTGGATCAAAATGGAGTATAAAGCATAAGATATGATTAAAATAGAAAAAAATGGAAGATTGTGTCTTTTTTCCCCCCTAATTGAGCATGCAGATGAGGTGAGACTTAAAAATTATAAATAAAAATTATTTTGCACCATCGTTCCCTATGCGCAGTATTCGAGTTGCAGATGAGGTGAGACTTAATAAAAAAAATTACTCCCTCCATTTTTAAATAGATTACAATTTTTTCTCTCCCCTCTTGATAACTTTTGTTTGGTTATGCAATTTCATTAAGTATTTGATAAAATAAAATATTATTGCCACATCTTCTTTTGTAGAATTTTTGACGTAGTTTTTTAATATGTAATTTTTATATCTTATTGATATGCCAATTTGTAAATAAAATAATTTCAAAAAGTAAAAAATTTTTCTTTCTAACCCGGAATTTGTAATCTATTTAGGAAGAACGGAGAGAGTGAATTATTTCACACAACCTTTTTGTATGCGCAGTATTTGAGTTGCAGGTGGCAGACTAGTTGACAGTGTAACTATGGTACCGTGCTTTTGAATCTGCAGTATTCGAAATAAATCTTTTAAAAAAATTGCATTTGGGCTACTCAATATTCTAATTCTAATTGGGGAAATTACTCCGGAAAACTTTCCTACTTGGGAAATTTCTCCCTTATCTCCTTGGTCTTTTTATACTCCCTTAATTCCTATTTTGATTATAAATTTATTTTCCACGATTTACAATAAGATACTCCCTTCATCCTAAAACTTTCTTCTCAGTTTGACTTTTCTTCATTTTTAATTTTTGGCTTTGACTTCAAATTTTACCCTCCTTAAAAAAGATTTTTTGAAATTTTTTTGCAATCATTCAAAATATAGAGTTAGAAGATAATTGGTGTAAATACATGAGG